ACCCGGGACCTTTAGCTTTTTCAGGCACGCAACTTACTCCATTGGCTGATATGCCTTCTGAAGATTTATGTACCAAACAGATTTTTAAACAAGACCAAACTGCAGAAACCTAAACTTTGTTAGGATTTGGGTATAATTATTATCATTCGTGGATGTTTAAAAATGAGGGGCATTATGCATTTACGATTTCTGTTTGCGAAAAATGGTCATTTTTTGAGAAGTTCTGACTTTCTTTATTTTCATTACAATTATTTACCGAAAAAAAACCAAACATTTTCATAAAAATTCAACTCAATATTTTGATGAAAGTCAATGACTCTGATGTGAATAGATATCAGATATTCCAAGGACACGAATTGGATAACCTATAGATGTACGGGGCCGGATGTCCACTGAACAACCACTGCGGGACATCCCCTGGATACCCCAACTATGTCCTTGTACCGTGTGACAAAGAGGGGAAGTACCTAGTATACATCCCTCTGTGTTGTTAGGGCGGAGATTCTGAGCGTTCCGTAGTCTGTACTCCGTTGTTCTGGAGCGGCAAAATCGATTTTACTCAGAAAAAGTTACTGGTATATCACAAAATATCAAAGCCGATTTCATGATTATATATCGTGACATACTGGAAATGTAGCTGTTGATTTTGTTTTTATCTCTTCAAATATACCAAAAAAGAATTCATATTTTTCAACAACTAGATTCTGTAAAAAATGGTTCATAAGCTTGCAGCATCAACTCTTGTAATCCAATAAATAATTGAATACTATATGTTCCAATAGTTATGACTCACTCTGTATATCATGGCTATTATAGATGATGTATTTTATTTCATTTTTATAGTGAACCATTAACAATCAAAGATTCAAAGATATCTGATGACTATTTATTTTCTATCTACTGATGAGACTCTAAGAAATTATCACATTCAGATTGATTATATTATCAATATTTTGTAATGTCTTATTAATACGAAACTTTAGAATGGATACAAATTGAGTGAGAAAAATAATCAACGAAAAAGGCGTGAGATGTTTTTCCAGATATACAAATTATATTGGTCTAGGGTCTAGGCAAAGTATGACAAGTTATTCACAAGGGAATTTAAAAAAACGCCACGGAGTAGGAACCCAACTGAGTGAGAGATCATAATATGTTCTTCTCTCTTCCGCAAGGAACCGAGGGAAAAATCAATACTGTCCATGGGATTCACCGACCGTAGCAAACATTTTTTTATCGGTACCGGTCGGGCGGGTGGGGTCTCATCGTAGAAGACAAGGATAAACAAAAATTTCTGGAGCGATAGCACGCGGTGGGATGGGATCTGTAATTCTGCACAAAAGTGTAGTAATCTGTACAATTAGTTCAGACATGTTCTGTGTGCCTAGTGGAGTCGCTACCTCACAGTGGCTAAACGATAGACGAGGGGATGAGCGGGGCATCGACTCGCAAATAACACAGGTTGGGCATCTTCCCAGCGTAAGCGTAATATATCAATCAACGCCAAGACCGAAGGACAAACATGAAGTTAGAAGTTTCTGGGGATTGTGCACTTACTACCGTCGTTTTGTGGAAGGATTTGCTGATATTGCGGCACCACTCCATAGATTGACAGAAGAACGAGTCAACTCCAACTGGTCTGTAGAATGTGAGAAATCCTTCAAGAAATTGAAGGCTGGCCTCTGTTCGAGTCCTATTTTGGGGTTCCCACAAGAGAGAGGCTTGTTTATTTTGGACACAGACGCGAGTAACATCGGAATTGGAGCCGTGCTATCACAAGTACAGGATGGTCAAGAAAAGGTTATAGAATACTACAGCAAAGTGATGGCCAAACCAGAAAGGAATTATTGTGTCACCAGGAAAGAACTGCTGGCAATTGTTAAGGCTGTTGACCATTTCCACAAATATTTATACGGAAGAGAATTTCTCATTAGGACGGATCATGCAGCTTTGAGGTGGCTGATGGAGATGAAGAATCCTGAAGGTCAAATAGCAAGATGGCTGGAAAAGCGGAACCAGTATCACTTCAAGATTAAGCATCGCCCAGGAAAACTACACCAGAATGCAGATGCCATGTCCAGAAGACCTTGTTCGGAAACCTGTAAGCATTGTCTGCGCATTGAACATCGAGAAGGAACCGCTGATGTTAGAAAAACCAGACTTGTGACCGATGATAAGTGGACAGCAGCACACATGAGACGAGATCAGGAGAACGATCCGAATATCGCCGATTTTCTACGTTGGAAAGAAAGAGGAACAGAAAGACCGACATGGAAGGATATCTCGGATAGAGGGCCTGCTTTCAAGGCGATGTGGGCACAATGGGACTCACTAGTTGTGGAGAATGGATTATTGAAGCGAGTTTGGGAATCAGCTGATGGTAGATCAACAATTTCTCAGCTGGTTGTGCCCCACATCAGAGTTAATGAAGTTCTGGAAGAAGTCCATGGCGGGAAATCTGGTGGACATTTTGGAGTTAACAAGACATTGAGTAAAATTCGAGAAAGATTTTACTGGGTTCAATGTCGTGACGACGTGGAAAGTTGGTGTAGAAGATGTCCTGTATGCGAAGCCAGTAAAGGTCCCAGAACGTGATCGAGAGCTGGAATGAAGCAATACAATGTGGGTGCACCGTTTGAAAGGATCGCCATCGATGTAGCCGGACCATTCCCTTTGACTGATGATGGAAATAAATAAATCTTGGTTGCTATGGACTACTTCAGTAAGTGGGTAGAAGCATACGGCATGCCAAACCAAGAAGCCTCCACAGTTGCCAGGATATTGGTAGACAACATGTTTTCACGGTTCGGAGTACCAATGGAGTTACATTCTGATCAAGGGAGAAATTTCGAGTCGAACTTATTCAAAAAGGTCTGTGATCTAATGGGAATCAGTAAGACCAGAACAACTCCACTACATCCACAATCCGATGGCATGGTCGAAAGATTCAACCGAACTATGGAAGAACATCTTTCCAAAGTAGTCGAAGAGCATCAGAGGGACTGGGACAGGCATCTTCCCTTATTCCTGATGGCGTATAGAGCAGCTGTCCATGATTCAACGAAGCTAACTCCAGCTAGTATAGTCTTTGGAAGAGAACTCCGCTTACCTTGTGACTTGGTGTTCCGTTCACCAAGTGTTGAAGAAAAGGAAGTACAAGACTACGCAGATGAGCTCCGGAATGGCTTGATGAAAATTCATGAGACTGCTCAGAAGAGATTGAAATTAGCAAGTGACAAAATGAAGGCACGGTACGATCTCAAAGCCAATTCAGAGGGATTCTTCGAAGGAGATCGAGTTTGGCTGTATAATCCTCGACGGAAGAAAGGCGTATCACCCAAATTAACACCATCTTGGGAAGGACCGTATACGGTGTTGAAAAGGATCAACGATGTGGTCTACAGAATCCAACGCAGCCCTAGGACAAAGATGAAAGTCGTTCATCTTGAAAGACTGAAGCGCTACCATGGTGAGGAGAGTTCTGTTTTTGATCGGGACGATCAAATTTGAAGAAGGGGGTAAATGTTACGACCCTGGCAATCGATCCCAGCTACCTGCGGGAACGGGAAGTAAATAAACCATATTTCTTGGAATAGTAATTAGGTGATTCGACGGCTATTGAGATGACTCGAGAAGATTATCGACCTGTTCACGATATTTCGAGTGGAATCTAGACGTTTTATTAGGTAGTATAAATAGTTATTGTTAGGGACAGGAAGAGAAGTCTTTATTTGGAAGCGTTATAATAACGATCGAAGAAGTGTTGTGAATCGGAAGTGTTTAGTACGAGTATTGTAATTATTGTATAGTAGTGTTCAGAATAAATTATTTTAAGTGTTATACCGAGTGTTAAATTATTACGGACCCAGAGTAAAATCGTAACAATATCCATAAACATTTCTTATTAAGTTGCTATTCCACATTCAGTTTCGAGCAATTTTTGGAGGAGAATTGGAAATAAGTAGCTATATTTTTTCGAATATTCTTCAATTTTGTTACAATTCTCTTTTTTTTTGGACAGTAGTGATGTTGATGATGTACAAGTTGAATAGAATTCAATTTCAAATGCTCACATATGGAGTTCCCAGCCATTATTTGAGAAAACTGAAAATAGCTATTTTCATTTTTTTTTAAATAACTTCATCTTCCCATCTAACCCCACTTTTTGCCATCGTAATTTTTTGAATTTACCGCCATACCAGTGATCAAGTGACGTGTCAAAATCGACTTTTAAGTAATCAGACATGCATAATAGATCCCCGAGAAAAAATCTTTCGATATTCTACTAATAAACTTCTTCTCCATGTGTTACGAACTTTATGGATGATACTGGATCTATATGTATCTATTATCTTGTATTTTATCATCACTTTTTATATTGTTTTGAAAAAATGAAATGTTATTTTATGATGTTATTCTACAAGATTTCCGAAGGGAATAAAAACATAGTTTTTTGTTTCTTTTTTTTCTATTTCGCTTTGAGTAAATGAAATTTGTTTTTTTTTTTTTTCAAATGAATTAATTCAAAAAATTCTGACTTAATTCAAGAAGTCGGACTTTGATGACTTTTTTATAAAAGTCATGACTTATTCCAACCCTGCTCTGCTACTATTATTTACTTCATGAATGAAAGAAAAGACTCTCAAGTCGGTCGACCACACTTTATATCAACAATTTTAAATTAGAAAGTGACCGGTTTCGGCACAACGGTCATCATCAGACTGAAACGACCTAAAATACGAAAATTAAGGAAAAAACATGTATATGATGTCAGAATAAAACAAACCTGTTATGGGTCAGGAAAACAAACAGACCATTGAAATTTCAATGGTCTGTTTGTAATGTCTTTTAGGTCGTTTTAGTCTGATGATGGCCGTTGTGCCAAAACCAGTCACTTTCTAATTCAAAATTGTTTATATAGTCTTTCATTCATGAATACTGTGGAGCCACTTTGAGAATGGATGATTTTCATGGTTCATTATTTCCTTATTTACACCTACCTGTGCGTGCTTCTGTCTCAGCTTGTTCAAAATATTCGTCGCATCGAAGCCGGCGTTCTCGCACAGTTGCCGCGGCACTATCTCCAACGCCTTGGCAACAGCGCCGATGAGCAGCTGTTCCTTGCCGGCGATGGTGCGCGAATGCTCGCGCAGTATCTTCGACAGCTCCATCTCGATGGCGCCTCCGCCCGCCACGACGGCGTCGTTTTTGATTGTTCGGCGCACGATCATGATGGCGTCGTGCAGGGACCTAAATGGAATAAAAATAAATAGTTTAAAAAACCTAAAAATAACACGCTTTCATATACAGGGTGATTTTGATTCAAAGGCACAAGCTAAAATGGGTGATGGGTAAAAGTTTAATTATTTTTTTCAATTAAATATTAACCTCGCTCACTTTTGAAGATATCAAGTAGAAATTTAGTGTGATTGATACTTCCTAGAAGATCATCATTTCAAGCATCTTATAGATTTTTAAATTCTACAGAGTGATACCTATTTTGGGGTAGAGGTTTCCCTATCCCCCAAGATCTTCTTCATAATAAGCCTCTCATCTTCCAGTTAAAAAATTCAATACATTGTTCTATCAGAGGCTTTTTTTGTCTCAATTTTTTTCGAGAAACCAACCGTTTCCAAATAAATAAGCATATCTGTTCGAAAAACATGTTAATTTTGCCTATTTTGTTTAACTTAAATTTTATTATTGGAGGAAATTCGTAGAAAATGCAATAAAACGTTTTTTAGTTTTCAAAGTTGGTTAAATTTTCTCCACGAATAAAATTTAAGCAAAATGTAGGCAGATTAAACATGTTATAGAACGGATATGCTTATTTGTTTCGAAAACGGTTCCTTCAAAAGCCTCTCAATTGAACAATTTACATAATCCGGTAACTAGATGATGTCAGAGGCGTACAACGAAAAAGTTTGTGAAATAAAGAATTTTGAAAATCTTCTAAATGGAGAAAATGATGATCTTCCAGGAAGTAACAACCTGACCTCAAATTTCAAATTGATAACTTCAATAGTGAGAAAGATATTTTAATTAATAGGAAAAAAATATTAATCTTTGACCTCTTTGTAGCTCCACTACTGATCCAGATCGGACACATGTTTATATAAACTTTTTTGATTAAATTGATGAGATCCCACATTTCAGTTTGTGCCTTAAAACCTGAATCATCCTCTATATAGCCAAATGATAAATACACAACATAAAATATACTGACTACGGAGGTGCTTATATTCCTTTAGTTTTCTAAACTACTATTTATTTACTATCTTCTAGTACGGTAAAAGCGTATTTTTTAGTTTTTTTTTTTTTAATTTTTTGTAAGTACCGCCCCGCAATGAGAGTGGAAAATTTGCTCGCATGTTGGCTTCCTTATTATGACTTCAGGCTCCGTCACCGGAAACTTCATTTCATTCGAGTATTTGGTGCAAGACACTACCGTCTCTCCGGATGTGATGTAACTATTTTCATATCATAAGAATATACTTGGTACAAGACACTGCCGTGTCTCTGGATGTAAAAATCGCTCAACCTGAAGATTCTGATCAAGGTCAAAATATTTATTTATTATACAAGGGTAGTATGTAGTAGATTTTAGCTCCATCCCGTGTATAATACACTATTTTTTTCTGTGACAGAAGAAAGGACGGATCAATATTGAGAAGATATTACATTGTTTTGAGATCTGAACATTATCGACGTGAAATTTTAAGTTTTTAACAGTAGGGAAACGTGCGTTGTAGGCATCTTTCTCATTCTTTTGAAGTAATCAAATGTCTGATGTCACTTCTGTCAGTCTAATTCTGTGATTTGATTTCAAAAAATTGCGAATTCAGTGGTTGTTTAGTAATTTATGTAACCGCGAAGTCAAATGGGAGATAAAAGGACTTGCAGTTCTTTCTTGGAGACGGTATTATTGACTCATTTTTCGAAACTATAGCACAACAAACGCCATCGACAGTGCATATATATGTGATATATATCCGGGAAAAAAGTACTCATTTTTTTCCCACGGGAAAAAAGTAATTTATGAAAAGTGACATTTTATAACCTGCCAACAGAGATGAAACGCCAAACTTTTTTCCCGTTCCTGTTTATTATACAAGGGAAAACAGTAATAGATTTTAGCTCAAGGTTGCGTTGTAGACAAAAAACCGTGAGCAAAAATCTAATATTTTTCACGTGTATAATACAATAATTGAGAAGATATTACATTATATAAAAAAGAGAAAATCATCATTGTTAAATTTGGAGTATTCACCTGGTAGGCTGTGACAATTCAGGCATCTATGTTACAGGTGTCTTTGTTGCTATGGAAATTTTTTGAAGTAATCAAAAATATGTCAATTTAATTTTAAAAAATTGCTAACTAAAGGTGGATTTATGTAGCAGTAAGTATCAAGTTTCAAGTCATAGGGGGAAAATCGTGATTAATGTAGCAAATGAGGATTGTCATATCATGAGAAAAGCACACCTTCATTAGCATTTTGTTGTTCATCAGTTTTATACATGTTAAAGGTAACACAGGTAACACAATCGATTTTTTCTATTATTCAGCAGTTACAAATACCTGGTCTGGATTTGATTTGATTAAAACAAATGTAGACAAAACCAAGGTTACAAATGGAAGCGCACGGCTCATGCTCAGAGCAAATTAGTCATAAGTTTCAAGTCCTGGTCGTAAGAGATGAATGTTGGCCAACTTTACTTACGACTTAAAACTTATGACTGTTTATGACACGTGTATGAACGTTTATATTGGAAAGCAATGACTGAACTTTCTAAGACTCATGAGTCAATACTATAATACTATACAGGGTGTCCCAAAATTGCTGGGACACAGAGCTACCACGTGTAGAGGAGGTCAAAATAAGTTGATTGGACCCAATTTATTCATGTGCCAAAATGTACCGTTTGTCCGTGAGAAGGGTTCAAAGTTCACTTGAAAAAACACATTTTTGTACGCTGTTCAGGAATAAGTGGAACGAATTTGATGAAATTTGGCAATAGTGTATTTCAGAGGATTACTTTCCTTTTGGTAATCTAAGAAACCTAAAAGAAATTGTAGAAGGGTTGAAACCACCCTCACCCCCTGACGTTTTCTTCAGAACTTTTTTAAGGGTCATGATACTGTTCTGAAATTTTTTGAGCTTGAAGACTCATCAATTACCTTCATTTTATCACTCCTGTAAAAATTTCGTATACCAAATAGTTTCGAAGAAAAAAAATGTTCTCTCAAATAATGCTACCAGATATTCCTATAGTACAAGTTTAATTAAACTGTGATATAAAACTTAGTTGGCAGTGGAAACACAGGCAAGTCGTGATTTCGACAGGTAACAAATTTATTGTCATTCAAGTTTGTTGTTGACGTTGTCTGTAAATGTTTCAATAAATTCTTCAATTTTGTTATTACCGCGGGTACCATTACTATAGGAATATCTGGTAGCATTATTTGAGAGAACATTTTTTTTCTTCGAAACTATTTGGTATACGAAATTTTTACAGGAGTGATAAAATGAAGGTAATTGATGAGTCTTCTATCTCAAAGAATTTCAGAACCGTATCATGACCCTTAAAAAAGTTCTGAAGAAAACGTCAGGGGGTGAGGGTGGTTTCAACCCTTCTACAATTTCTTTTAGGTTTCTCAGATTACCAAAAGGAAAGTAATCCTCTGAAATACACTATTGCCAAATTTCATCAAATTCGTTCCACTTATTCCTGAACAGCGTACAAAAATGTGTTTTTTCAAGTGAACTTTGAACCCTTTTCACGGACAAACGGTACATTTTGGCACATAAATAAATTGGGTCCAATCAACTCATTTTGACCTCCTCTACACGTGGTAGCTCTGTGTCCCAGCAATTTTGGGACACCCTGTATATGACACTGCCGTGTCTCTGGATATAGAAAAGCATTGTAAAGTTACTCAAAGGAATAATAACGAAGATTTGAAATTCAGGTGAAGGAACGTTTTAAAATTTTGGTGGCGGAACATCATTCACAATTTTAAAACTATTAAATTATGCTTTTTCATTGGTTCTTGATAAGTGTGCGAGGTTTCAATTCAATTAAACGTTTTGAAGTGGGACATGATCACGTTCGAAGTTTCCATGTTACATACAAACATACATCTATTTCCGATTTAATGAGCTGTTGGGTAACCAAGAGAACAAAAATCCACTTGAATACATACGTTGCTACGATGATTCGTCGAAAAACTCAATTTGATTGGTTAAAAATTAGTGGTGTGCAATTTTCAATACGATACCTTTCCGTCTCCTCCAAGAACTGCTCCGCCCCGCCCCTCAGCAGCAGCGTGCAAGTCTTCGCGTTCGGGCAGCCCTGGAAGAAGTTGTACCGCTCGCCGCCGATCTGCCTCTCCTCGAACAGCTCACACTTGCCGAGCACCGAATCGCCGATGTCGTTCACAGTCGTCATCACTGCGCCGCCGCACGCCTTCAGAGTGCGCCTGAGGTCGTCCTCTTGCACTCGGCCCGCGCAGAACATGTCCCTGGAAGAGATAATAGAATATTTTAGCTCAAGAGAATGAAGAGATTTTGTATTTCGTGTAAAATTTATTATCAAATCGCAAAGAGCTTTCGACTAAAAAGCCATCAACAGTGCTATACCTGCAAGTAAGTAATATTTATGAAAATTTCCAAATAGCAAATCCAAAAGTGTAGATTACTTACTCATCAAGTATTTACAAAAAGGTCCAAAAAATCGAGATCAAAGACATCATTATGGTACAAACGGAATTAGGAACAGACATACATTTAACAAAAAAATTCCCTAATGGGTTATTGTAAAATTTTCCAAAAATACATTTTGAAAATTTGTTCAATTCAGGTCCTGGAAGAGCACGAGGGACCTTAACCTTTATAAGTCTGACGAATATGTGACATTTTTAAACATGATAATTGTCCGAAATCCACTATTTTGAATATCATTTTACGTTATTTTTTTTAGTATATATTTTGTTCTATGAGAACTAGGGAGTTCTCAATCTTTTTTATATGTATTTATAGGGAAAATATTATTGTATTTTTAATTATTCCAATTTCGCGCTAATACATGCACGATGATCCTTAATCGCCTGCGCGAGTGCCTCCGAGTCAAGGATGAGCAACGACAGCTCGCCCCACTTCGATATATACCGCATCACCGTGTATGTCATTTTTGCCGGTAATTTTCACATCTAACGATGTTGAATCAAAATGGTGACGATTAGCTAAATCCGCGATATCTCACGTGTTAAGAATTGAACCTGTTACATCCACAACGAGAGGGCCCTCTTCCTGCATTTCATCAGGAGCAGTACCGAAGCAGTGCCTACTCGAACGTCTCCGCCGATCAAGAATGCGAGGTAAGGCCATAAAGGTGAATCGTGCGCGATTATTCAAACTGAATCTAAGTGATACAATAATATTGAATCCACAACCAAAAACATACAGTCCACTAAAATGTACCTCTAGCTGAAACAATAATATTGTTGACAGAGACTGAGTGTCAATGTTCTCTTTTCTCCAAGAAGTATACTTGAAAATCAATAGTGGGGAGGCAGCAGCAGCAGTATTTTGCGACTTTTCTAAAGCCTTTGACTGCGTGGATCACCAAATACTGCTGGCAAAGCTCCATCACTACGGCTTCAGAGGTGTAGCATACAAATGGATTGAGTCTTACCTAACTGATCGTCATCAAATTGTGAAAACTTCATCTTTTTCAAATATAGCATCGGTGAATTGTGGTGTACCTCAAGGATCGATACTGGGCCCCACTTTATTCTTATTATATATCAACGATCTGCTTAATATTGATATCTCCGGAAAATTTACTGTGTTTGCGGATGACACTACTATTCTATGGCATGAAAATAATGCAGATGCACTAGAAGAAAAAATCCAAGTAGACATTAAAGTATTAAAAAGTTGGTGTGACTCAAATCGTCTTGCTCTAAATGTAACAAAAACCAACATAATATCCTTCAGGTGTGAAATAATCAATATTGAACTAGATAATGGCCTCATTGAAAGCTGCAATAAGACTAAATTTTTAGGGGTTTTTATCGATAATAAATTGAAATTTGAACAACATGTTTTGAACTTGAATAAGAAATTGGCCTCTGGTTGTTTCGCTGTGAGAACAGTAACAAAGGAACTTGGACCCTCAGCTGCAAAATTAGTCTACCATGCATTGATAGAGTCTCACCTGAGATACGGTATTCCTTTCTGGGGAGTATGTAATAATAACCTCATGCTAAGTATACTGGTACTGCAAAAACGCTCGATTAGATATATGTCCAAAGTTAAAATGCGTGTTTCCTGTAAACCGCTGTTTGTATCGCATAAATTACTAACTGTTATTGCAATCTTCATCCTTGAATCAGTATATCTCATCAAAAAACACATCCATAAATTTAATACTACTCCTTCCTATTACTCTACCCGTAAGCATAACAGTATAAACTTACCAATACCAAGTTCTTCTCTAGTAAAGGATTCACTCATTTATAATGGATGCAAGATGTTCAATCATTTGCCCGACTATATAAGAGATATCACCCACATTGACCATTTTAAAAAAGCTGTCCATTTGCTATTATCAGATCGGCCTTACTATAGTTTGGAGGAATTTTATTCTGATCAATTCTAATTATATGTACCCTTTGCTAATGTAAGAGTCTTTTTAATGTCTGTTTTATATTTTTAGTTTTTTATTTACACTTTTAACTCTACATATGTGCTTTGTCCATAAGAATGTATCTTTTCTTCATGACAATAAAGTATATTCTCTCTCTCTCTCTCTCTCTCTCTCTCTCTCTCTCTCTCTCAATGGCTGAGAGATACCGCAATTCACTCATAAATCATTAAAAGTATACGCCGACAATCCGAAAAGCCAAACAGGCAATTTTTTTTTATCGCTTGGAGCGCACGAAAGGGAATCCCTATAATGTTCAAAGAACATCGTGCGTTCCTAGGGAGGATAGGGACAGGAGGTAGGTATTGGAATTTTTTTTGAACTTTTGTAGATTATATGTTGTTGGGAATACTTCCACAGGCAATGAATGAGATCGCGAATGGTGGGAATAACTCTGCGGAATCATTGCCCGAAAATATTTTTCAATGATATGTTTTGTTTTATGGATCGCCCTCTTGCACTCGGTCCGCGAAGGACATGTTCCCGGGAGAGATGATAGGATATTGTTCCTCAGACTAAATAAGAATAGATAGATTCCGCGATTCATTCATAAATCATTGAAAAGTATAAACCAGCAATCCTAAACGCCAAACACGGATGACTGAATGGAATCGCCAATGGTGGGGATAATAACAGACACTGGTACATTTGCGGGTGAGTGCTCATACTAAATAACAATGGATAGATACCGTGATTGATTCATACAGCATTAAAAAGTTTTTACCAACAATCCTAAACGCCAAACACGGATGAATGAATGGTGGGGATAATAACAGACAATTGTACATGTGCGAGTGAGTGCGCAGACTGAATGACAATAGATAGACACCACGATTAATTCATAATTGAAAAGTATACGCCAACAGCAATCCTAAACTCCAAATACGGACGAATGAATGGAATCCCGAATAGTGGGGATAACTCTGCCGAATCATCGTTATTGGAAGATCTGACGTCGCCCAGCACCACTATGTCGATCGATGTGGACTCTATGCCGGACATGGACCTCTAGGAGAATAGTTCAATGTTGAGTGTTTAACCATCAGACTAAATACCAATAGATGGACACCGCGATTCATTCAAAAACCATTGAAAAGTATACGCCAACAATCATACACGTCAAATTCGGATAAATGAAAAAAATCGCGGATGGTGGGGATATTTGGCGTCGCCCAGCACTACTATGTAGATTTGGGTGGACTGTATGTCGGACAGGGATCTTCGGAAAGAGTTGAATTCAATGTTGAAAGTGTTCAGCCCATAGACTAAATAACAATATATAGGCACAGCGATTCATTTATCAATCGTTAAAAAGTACATGTCAACAATCCTAAACGCCAAACACGGATTGAAGAATGGAATCGTACATGGTGGGGATAACTGCGTAATCATTGTTGTTGGGCGATGTGATGTCATGCGGCACCACTATGTCGGTGGAGGTGTACTCTATGCCGGACAAGGACCTTTGGAAAGAGTTCATAGACACCGCGACTGATTCAAGAATCATTAAAAAGTATACGCCAACAATCCTGAACGACATACACGGATAAATGATTGTAATCGCGAATGGTGCAAATAACTCAGCGGAATCATTGTCAGAGAATTGATATTCTTCATAGATATATTTTATATATCCAATAAAACTGGATTTTAATTAATGTGTGTATGTAAATCAATACGCCGCCCCTCGTACAGCTCGCAGGGAAGGAATTTGTAAAAAAATTATATATCGCTACTTAGGTTATGAACAAACTTCCCAGAAGTTAAAAACTTTGCAGGGTAAGGAACAGCGGGACCTACAGCTCATAGTTGATTCAGAACCACTACTATAGCGCCTAACTGCCAAGATTACAGCAAAGAATCACACATTTTTGAGAAAAATGCTCAGCTGAGCCAGATTAAAACCGACAGCACCTCTGCATCATAAATGACTGTCAAGTGAATTTGAGCGCCTTCTGGCGCTTTCCACCTGGATGCTGGAAACGTGTCCTGTGGGATTTTTCTGGCTGGTCCAGGGTTTTCAACTGTATTGACTTTGATATTCTGTTCAATAAATTAAGACACTATGGAATCAGGAATACATAGTTAAATTGTTTCAAAAGTTACATGTCTGGACGCACACACACTTTGAAGCTGAAGGATCAAAATTCAAATGAAAATGCTGGTGGTGTCCAAGGGGGTGCTGCAGGGCAGCATATTAGGACCACTCATATTCATCATCTACATAAACGATCTCTTAGCAATTGCCCAAGGAGATCAAACTATCATTAACTATGCAGATGATACTATTTACCACTTCAACTTTCCCTCAACTAAGGCTTAATTGTAATTCACTCATGGCTAAAATAGATTTTTTTCTTGAATTCAAAATTAATACTAAGTCCTGATAAAACTGAAGCAGTGTTTTTCAAAACAATACTTGGGCCTGAAACTCCTAACAATATCATTCTCAATCAACATAAAATACAATTTTCCACAGAAATCAAATGTTTGGGTGTGTTTCTTGATGAAACCTTGAGTTTCTCCTATCACATCAATTTTCTCTGTGAGGAACTTAACTGGTCTCTTTTTGGCCTCAGAAAACCATGGAATAACAATATCAACATTGTTGAAACCTTTTACTATGCAAGCTTCTATTAAATGGCATATGATGGAATCATTCTCTGGGAAGGAAGCAACTGAAAGAAACTGTCCAACTAGTCAACTAGTGAAGAAGCCCATACTTAACTTCTTATGTAATCTGGAACCATATGGGATCAGATTCTTTCAAAAAATGGTCAGAGATGCATGTGAGGATGCATGAAATTTTAAATCTTTTAAATGCATGCAACAAAGCTGTGAACATAAATGTGATGAGAATTTTGAGAATGAGTCATTATCCTCCAATGAAATCTAAGACATGTACATATAAACAAAAAAAAAGGCAACTGCACACATCCAAGTACTAACTCCTTTAGTAAAATATATATCATTAATTTTCAATTCTATGATATGGAAGGAAAAGACTAAAGTTCAAGAACAATGGGGATGAAATGATTATACCACCAACAAGGTTGCAGTTTTATATACTTCAATGGAACTTATCCAGAAAGTCATTGGCCAAGGTCTTGGGACTATACTGAAACACCCTGTTTAGTTAAAAAGTACTGTGACTGCTAAAAACAAACATATTAGCAATTTTTTTATTAATTTGTTATTTCTTTATGATGCTAGATAATTCTTTCATTTCATTGCAGTTTCTTCAAGAACTTCTGTATTTTTGCCCACCCTACACCAATTTCAAACAAAGTGTGATACATTTTTGGAATCAACTCAGCCAGAGAAATTCAGAGATTCAAAAAACAGCATCTTTTATTGAAAAAAACTGGTGACATCATCACAGGAAGGTAGTTTACTACTAGATCTGATTAGATCATTATTTGAGAAAAAAGTTAATTGTATTCAAAAATCAACCAGTATGGCTGTACTGTCTATTCCTTTGCCAATAAAATTTGCTATTTCTAGATGCTCAGTTGTCATCTTCAAGTGCTGATATAAAACATGCTTCAATTAGCAACCTTCCCCCAGTTTAAACAACCAAACAACTCACCTGTCAGCAAAATATTGAGTGGCAACATCCCCAATAGGCAACTTTGACAGCACAACATTGGCACCAGACTCATATATCTTCTGAAGCTTACTGTATAAAATATTCCATTCTGCATCTACAATCTTCTGATACTCCCTCACATTATCCACCCTAACTTCAGCATTGTCCCTTTCAGCTTTCAGCTCTAGTTCAATGTTCAAAAGAGCAATTTTGCAGTTTTTGTAAACTTTTGGCTGCATTTCAAACCCAGCATATGAGAATGTTTTCTTGAATGCCACACCAGCCACTAAAATTGAGTCTTCAAGACCGCCACCTTGAACCTTCTTGATGCCAATCATATTGAGGGGCAACAAATCATCTAGGAGTAGAACTGCATCTACCACCATCTTAGAGAAGAATGCTCTCTGCTGGTTGATCAATTTAGAACTCATGGCAGTTGCTGCACATTTTTCTAATAGTGTCCTGAATTCAACAGCATTGGCCTTGTTAATTTTAACAGCTAGTTCAGTGATCTTTTCCAGGCATATTTGTAGGGACCGACGAACTGCCTTGATGATGATCCTTGGATGCACACCCTCCTCAACATAGGGTTTTATTTGTTTCAAAAATTCACCAGCAAGTAATACAACACTAGTAGTGCCATCCCCAACTTCAGCATCCTGGGATTTGGCAATATCTACAAGGGTCTTTGCTGCTGGATGAACAATGTCCAGAAGCTTGAGTATAGTTGCTCCATCATTAGATATAGTGGCCCTGCCCGTTTTTTCTACAATCAGTTTGTCCATACCCCTGGGTCCTAGAGTAGTGCGAACAGCATCCACTACATTCTGGCAAGCGTTGATATTCGATATTAGCTGGGGTTTACCCTGAGATGTGTCAGTTCCTTCTTTCAAAAGTAGTATCTGTGGTTGCTGAAACGTGTGATGAAAAATGTTGATACATAGCCGGTAAATATGGCAGGTATTTATCAATATTCCACATTTGTTTTAGTTGAATTTTGCTCACCATCATATTGAAATATCTTCGTGTAAATTATGTGTTCAGGGAAACTTAAGAAATGATTGCAAAACAGCAAAACGTGACTTTCAGCCCACCTTCCGTTCTTCAAGAAAAATCTTTTTTGTTTGAAGTTGGGTTAGGTTTTCCTGTCATTTGTCATTGTCTATATCGTCAGGTTGTCACTTGTCATGGCATAGAACACTGAATGTGTTTTATTCAGGCTGCTACGCAATGGCTACGCAAGAATCCGTGTGTTTTCGGCAAATGCGAAAACCGAAAACAACGAACAATAACAAGAAAATCACGACATTACGCCAAAGAGTAGTTTGCTGCGAGAGTGCTTTTCATATTGTGACCACGATATTGTGACTATATTCCGAATACAACTGTCAGTACTGAATCTGCTGATTTTTCATCCGAAATCAATAAAAATCACTGAAAGTGACAGATACTTGTGAGCAAGGCTATATTCCGAATTCAACTGGTCAGTCAGACGATTGGTCAGACGCATTGATCAGTGTGGAAAGTGTGGAGTTCAATGGTCAGACGAGAACCTAAAGTTTTCTAACCATTCCCAATCCTCATTGTCAGATTGGTAACAGTCATATATCTACTACTCATATATGAACATTCAGCGGGACCAACTTCTGTCTCTATAGTTAACGAAATCGACCAATAGGCGTTGATGCCGACGTATGGAAAAAATAATACGAAACTTGTCAATGTCAAACCAATATCCATTGACCAATATGGCTGTTTCCATCCTTCACTTTCCGTCCTTATAGATTCAAAAAGTATCTCTCATTTTGGTCCCATTCTTGTTGAGGTATCGTAAAGGCGACGCGCCATATATAGAAATAGTACATATATGGTTACGAAATAAGTACGGCAACGACGGACTTGCTTTTTTAAAAAAATAACTTTCATTACAAAATGCAAAAATAAATGAACAGAGAGATGTTTATACAAGTAAATCTAAAGTCTGACTGGCGTTTGCCGTGAAAAATGGAATTGAGAAACCTTGGTGCTTGATCGACATCACGGAAACCTGGGGTGTTGAGTTTCGGTCGGATGAATCAGCAGAATCCTCGGCTAGGTGGTGAGATAATTCACGTCATACATTATGGACGCATGCGCATTCGCTCGTAACCTCGTAAAGTAGAAAAACTCTCGGGGTCTCGAGAGGAAGGAAAAACATCCTTGATTGCCTAAATCACTGAGCAACAAATGATCAGTGGACTGACGCCATGCTATTAGAGCATGGCCATACATATTAATTTTAAACCGAGTTTTAAAACTCTTTCAGCAGACCCTTACGGCAGACGGGTCTAAGAAGGCCACAGAACGCGAGTTGACAGAACTAGCTATCTCTGAGTTGTAGTTCTATGAACTTGGGAAGATGGAAGATGACATTTTGAATTTTTGAGGTTATCCTGGTTATCAGAAAATAGGGTTATGTTTGTTAATGTGACGACTGAAAGAAAACTTGGTGATTGAAAGCCTGTGGCTAAAAAAACCTTCTTTTCTCGTCCACTGTGCAAGAACCTCTGAATATGGCAATTTCTGGAACTAAGAAGAAAAAAGTTTCCAAGAAACTCAAGAGTTCCTGGAGAAAACATGTGAACATTAAAGATGTTGAAGAATTTTTAGAAGACCAACGACTAGACGAACGACTAGGGTATGTTATATTTAACTGATGTAACATTCTATCAAATCACTCATTTCCCTTATTTTATTAGACCACCACTGGCAACTATTTCCAATGATGAATTGTTCAAAGTGGATGTAAAACCTGATGAACAACTGTTGTCATCTAAAGAAAGGCGTAAATTGAAAGCTCTTAAACCCTTGAAATGCCTCTCTTCTTTGGTGTCATATACAAAAGTTCCAGATCCTATTGCAAAAAGGTACAAGCTGTGACAGTGTTTTGATGTAATATTCACTCAGGCTGTTTAAATTGTAGAAATCATGTTAGAACAAAGGAAGAAAGAATGAACCGTTTAGTAATGCTGAAAAAAGAAGCAAACCAGAAAAAAGGAATATTCACAGCAAAAGAAATTCAAGCAAAAGCAAATCGTGAATTTGCTGAAGCCAGGAGACAAAATAAACCAAAAAGAGGAGAATTTTCAGAGGATCTATGGGCAGGAGGTAATTTCAAATTCTATTATTTTGCTTTGTTTAAATGGCTGAAAAGATTAGATGATGTTTCTCCACCATTATCAGATATCACAAATTCTAATTTATTTAAGTGAAAAAATTCCCAATTGAATCTGATGAATGGGCCACAACAAATACAAAAAAACACAATTTGCGAGGAGTAGGTGTCCCCATAAAAAATGTCAGGCCATCCTTGAAAGAGAAGAAGAGTGGTGTCCCTGCAATAGAAGCTCCGCACCCTGGCATGTCCTACAATCCCAGTTACAAGGACCATCAAGATTTATTGAGAGCTGTTGCTGAGAAAGAATCTAAACTCATCAAGGAAGAGGCACATTTGCAGAGATGCACCAGGGGGATGTTCTCAAAGGTCACTGAAGAAACAAGAGATGTGAGTGATAGTAAATAATAATAATCATTCTTTATTGAATTGAATACATATGGTATATGATCATTATTACTCAATTCTACTGGCTATTGACTCAGGTCCTTCAGCCTTTGTCTATACTAATAATAATAATGATAATAATAATATTTATTTCATATTGTATGAGATACAGAAACAAGTGGTCTAGGTAAATCAGACAAAAAAAAATGACAAAAAAGGTAGAGAAAATTATATACAAGGTTATAAGGTTCCAGTTGAATTAGTTTTGTTTTGATTTCAGACTTGAAGATACTTCTCATTTTATAGCCTTTGTCCAATTGGTATTGAAGAATTTTACAAATGTGCATTTTCCTGTTGAAGTTAACCTATGTACAGGATATTTCACATTCATTATTCTCCTCTTGCATATAATATACTAAAAAAAGTATATAATCTATAATCTAAAATTGTTAAATCAATCTGAGAAGTATTTCAATGAGCAGTTCTTCTAGGGGTTGTCTATGTAAAAAAAAAATTGGATGCATATAGTACAGCTGGAGATTCCTACGGCTATGACACTTATAACAGAGGTAAATTGTTACCTAAATATCATCTCCTTGAAAAGACCAGAGACAGTACTAGTTACGGCTCCAAAATGTACAATGTACTCCCAGATGAACTCAAAAATGTTAACTTGAATTTAAATTGTTTTACTAAAATCTTCAAAAATTATCTTTTAACAAAAGCATTTTACTCAAATGGAGAATATCTCACAAACAATTTCAATGATTTGGTATTATCAAACTAGAACTGATCAAGTGAACAAGACCCAGGTTTTTTTTTAATTATTTTAACATGTACATGATTTCAATAGTCTTATATATTTGTATATTGTCCAGCTACATGTATAAGTGTGTATTGACCTTTTTATGACTTGTGTAAGTACTTAATGTTGAGGTTTTAATATGCAGGCAGAAAGGTTTTACAAAAGATGGAATGATCTTTTTATTATTTTATTTATATTGTATAACATATGAACTACTTAACAACATAACATTCTAGATATATTATATCACATTCATGACACACACAATCACTGACAACTCAGAGATTAATTTCATAATATACAGAATGATATTATTCAAATGATTATCATCAACATCTTCCCCTAATCATTGAAAACTACAAACATTCTGTAGAATATTATTTTCAAAAAAACCGAAACTTGTCAAACTGACACAAATATCAGATTCTTGATACAAGAGAATTTTTATGAACATTGAATTTAGAATGATTCAGAGGTTTGGTAAATATGTCTGCCATTTGGAATTCTGTAGGGCAATAATCAATATCAATCAAACCTTCTGAAACCTTTTCATTAATGAAATGGAATCTAACATCAATGTGTTTACTTCTTTTATTGAACTGTCCGTTTTTTATCAGATTTATTGAACTCTGATTGTCCACATTCATTTTCACACATACTCTCTCGTCAATCAGCTCTTCTATTAAAGTCTTCAAGTACAATATCTCCTTGCAACAGTCTGCAGCAGCTGTATACTCAGCCTCAGTGCTAGACAAAGCTACAACCGAGGCTACAACTGGCTGTTTTCTTGAGCACCAACTGATAGCACCTCCACAGAACATGGTGACGAATCCAGTCGTACTTTTTCTTGTCTCTGGATCACCAGCATAATTAAAATCGCAGTAAGCTACCAGTTCTGTTAATTTTGACTCAGCAGAATAAAAAATTCCATAACTTCTGGTAGAATTCAAATATTTCAGCGTCCGTTTCACATTTGCTATGTCGGATTTTCTACATAACGACTGCTGTAGTTCACAGCATAAGCTATGTCGGGACGTGTTTTATTACTGAGATAGAGCAAACTTCCGATAACTTCTCTATAAGGAAAATTCTTGGCAGTAACTTGTGAATCAGCTCGGGAACTAGTATTCAATATCATTGGAGTACTCACTTCTTTAGCTTGATCAATTTGAAACTTCTCTAGAATCAAATCTATATATTTTTCTTGATTCAAGCCTATTTTATGTCCAGGTTCTCATTTCATTTCCATTCCCAAAAATGTTTCAGGATCTGGACATACCACTGTTTCAAATTCTTCACCCAACTCTTGAAGGAAAGAATTCATGTCCGCTTCATTATTTCCAAGCAAGATACCATCATCAACAAAGATAGCCAGGAATAAGGATTTTTTCTTATTTCTGAAAACACATCTGTCCGCTTTCGTAGCAACAAATCCACTTGATTTCAGAAAATTTGTGAAACATTCATTCCATTTTAAAGGAGCTTGTTCAAGTCCATATAAAGCTTTATTAAGTAAGCAAATATTATTATCATCTTCATATCCTTCTGGTACATACATATAAACCTTTTCTTCTAACTGGTCGTACAGAAATGCAGTTTTGATATTGAATTTCTTCATTTCATAGCTTCTATTAGCAGCCAGGGCGAACATAATTCTCAAGCAGCTTGTGTTAACAACTGGACTGTAAGTGTCATGGAAGTCTACACCATAGCTTTGTTCAAAACCCCGTACAACTAATCTTGCTTTATATCTTCCATCATCTTTCACTTTGAATATCCATTTACTTGTCAAAATTTCTCTATTTTTGACATCTGATTTATTTACAAAAGTCCATGTTTAGTTTTTCTCCAGGGAATTTTTCTCGTCTTGGATTGCTTGTTTCCATTTCAACTTATCATAACTGTTTATGGCTTCATGATAAGTGAGCATAGCATAGTCATCGAATCTTCTTGGTAATCTTCTTGATCTGATATTTCTTCCTTGATTTTCAGGTATTGACTGTGTGTTGATTTTGTCTTTCTCTGATAAATCAGTGCCTTCATGTATTTGTTCATTCATTATATTGATTTCTTCTTGTGGTGAATCTTCGTGTTCTACTATGTGATTTTCTGGTATTGTCGACAGATGATGTGATTCTGTTATTGATTCGTTTTGAGAATGTTCTTCAAAATCAAAAAACAAATCAAAACTGTTGTTTTCAATAATTTTTCTGGTTTTTCTCTCTTCGAAGATTACATCGCGGGAAAGAACGACCTTGCGATTGTCTTGATCCCATAATCGGTAACCATTTGGTGAATAGCCAATGAATACCATCTTTTTACTTCGAGAGTCAAGCTTTTTTAGATATCCCAGTACTTTTGCATGTGCATCACACCCAAATAGTTGTAAATTAGATAAATTTGGTGTCTTGCCAGTCCATTTCGTCACAGGTAGTGATTCGACAGCTCCACTTGGGCTTCTATTCAGTAAATAAGCAGATGTACGAACTGCTTCTCCCCACATTTCCTTGGGTATTTTAGAATCGAATATCAGAGCTCTGGTTTTCTCCATCAACGATCGATTTAAACGTTCTGCTTTACCATTCTGCTGTGGCGAATACGAAATGGTATAGTCCAAAATAATGCCTTTATTTCTGCACCAGTTCTGTAATTGTTTGCTTACATATTCACCTCCATTATCACATCTGATTTTTGAAACTTTCAGATTCTTGGAGTTTTCTACTTCGTTCACATATTCTTGAACAAAATATCCGACCTCACTTTTGTTTGTTAGCAGATACACCATGCAGAAATGAGTGAAATCATCCAGGAATGTTAGGAAATATTTCTTTCCATCCCATGTACTCGGTTCAATTTGACCGCACACGTCAGTATGGATAATTTCTAATGGTCTTGAAGCTCGTTGTCTCTCGTGGTTGAAAGGAAATCTTGTTTGCTTTGCTTGCAAACAAATCTCACAAATAGAGTCAAGTACCTCAATGTCTTCCGATGCAATATTGATTTCTTCCACCATATTTATTAATCTTTCCATACTTCCTTTACCGAGATGACCAAGTTTTCTGTGCCATAGTATTACTTCATCGGCCTTTTTCTTAGTTGATACTTCGTCACATGATGTTCTTTCAACTATCATTGCTTCTCCTGGATCTGCATTTAGATTACTGTATACAACCCGTTTTCTTGTTTCATTCCTTCCAATATTTTGACATTTTCTTTCTTTATGATGACTTTTTCTTTGGTAAAAGTCACTTCACCATCATTGTCAGTGATGGCATTGACTGACAATAGATGTTTTGTCAAATCTGGCACATACAGGACTTCTTTCAGGATACAAGATTTATTTTCGATCATTCCTACCCCATGTGTCTCCATTGACTGGCTTTTCTTGGCAACTGCAATTTCGGATTTGATTTCTTCAAAATTTTCGATCACCGATTTATTGTGCGTCATGTGAGATGAGGCACCGGAATCAACAACAAAAGTAAGTGCTGATTCGTCTTCGTCTTCATGGTAGGTGAGAAATGATATCTTGTCCTTTTCATGCTTTGGCTTCTCACTATATTGTGATTTATTTCGGAAGTAACAAGCCTTTTCAGGATGATTATCTTTTTTGCAAATTCCACATCTGAACACTTTTTCTCTTCTTGATTTACAGAAACGAGTTATATGTCCAGTTTTATGGCACTTGGAGCATTTCTTCTCGAAAGATTTGAATGCAATAGCACCTTCCTTTTCATTTGAACTTCTATTTCTGGTTTCTTCGGCTATCAATCTTGAAGTGGAATTTGTCAACGTTCTGTCACCAACTGGAGTTGAATCCCAAGCACTTGTGAAATATTTGTATGGCTCTGGTAAAGCTGCTAATAATTTCGACATTATCATTGTGTCATCAATTGGTTGGTTCAAAGCTTTCAATCAGAATGCAAGATTCTCCAATCTACTGATATTCAATGATACATCAGCTGATTTTTCGAAAGAGAAATTGAAGAATTCTTGAAGTAGATTACACTTCTGTTGTTCCGTATCAGGTTCATGAATTGAACATAACTTGTCGAACATCTCTTTCGAAGATTTACAATTGAGAATATGCATTAGTGGTTTTTTAGCTACTGTTGTTATTATTATTTTCTGGGCTTTGGCATCCTTCTGACTAAAGTCTTGTCTTCCTTGTTCTTCAGTATTTACCAGAGTAGTTTGG